CGTATGCCAGGTGGAAATGTCTAGTAGCCTGCAGAATCACAACTGCTATTCAAAAGACAAGTTGTTTCCTGGAACCCAGGAGTCCCATTAAGCACCTGCAGAATCACAACCTCTTTGTTATTTAAATGACAAGGTAACACACACACAGTATGTGCAGGCACATGTATGTTGGTGCACACAGGAGCTCCCATGTAACTTACAGAAGTTTACAAACAATTGCCAGAGACAAGGTGCTTTTAAAACCTTGATGCCAAGCAAAACACTTTACACATGGTGATATCTGAGGGAAACTAGCCCACACCTGTCCTGCCATCCTGTCAGCTGTATTTGGAATGTGCTTTGAACTTTCCTTGCTGAGAATTTTCTGAGTTTTGGCAACTGTCAGTAGAAAAGTTCTAGAAAAATTGAGAGAACATTCTGGAGCTTTGAGCATTAACACTCAAGAGGTATTCTACCTGGCCAATATGATCTGCAGACATTTGAATCATACAGTTGACCTTTAAAACTGCAAAACACTTTTAGGGACCAGGAAAAAAAAAAAACCCTCTTGCTTGTCTTCCCCACACATACACACTGACCTCTGACTGTTGTGTTTTGTGTCCCTGTCCACTTGAGCAGCACCCAGGGAATTGTGAAGCACTGTGGGTGTCAGAGGTATATGTGGACTGGGTACAGTCTGGATCCTACCTCTGTCCACTTTTTCCTGAGTTGGCATCTGACAGGAAGGCAGCCTTGCCCAGGCAGCAAGACATGGACATAACACAGCAATACAATGTGAAGTGTATATAGGCCCCCATCCCCCCACCTGCACTTGTCCTGCACCCTGGGAGTCAGAACCGACAGCAATACCTGGACCTCCTTCAAGGTCAGGATCAGGGGTTAGGTCACCCGTGGGAAGCACATGAGGGCAGGTGGAAGAAGGTGTTGGGAACGTTTCCTCCCTGTCCCCTCTGTGCTCTGGGTGGCATATTCTGTAGTAGCTATTCCCCACAGATACTTCTCATTGTGTGGGTCCACTCCATAGTCCCAACTGTGCCATTTGTTCCCAGCCCTTCTGTCCTCTGGACACTCCTTGCCTGTGTGGAGGCCAGTGGATAACTTTCTTGCCTCGGAAGTCCCTGTCTGTGAGCTTGGCCCTGGCAATCCAGTCTTCCATTGCAAATTGTGCAAAAGAAAAGTTCAGCTTTTTGGCTGTGTCTCCCCAGGTCTAGAAAGCCACAGAGTCAGAATCCAAGTCAAGGCTTCCTTGCTTGTTGAATAACTGCAAGCCTGATTTATAATTTACCTGGTTAAGAAAATTCTAGCATTCAGCTCAAACTGGAGTTCCCATCTTGCTGTTGATCTGGTGCTTAAACTTGACTGTCCTCATACAAAAACCATTTTCCTACCATACTGGCTAGCTGTTTCCTTTTCTTTTTAAAGATTTTATTTTATTTTATGTGTATAAGTGCTTCTCCTGCATATATGTAAGTGCACCCCTGTTGTGCAATGCTCTTGGAGGCCAGAAGAAGGTGTTAGATCCCCTGGAACTGGAGTTACAGTTGTCAGCTGCCGTGTGGGTGCTGAGCTTGGGTACTCTGCAAGAGCAGCCAGTGCTCTTAACTGCTGAGCCGTCTCTCCAGCCCCCTTAGCTCTTTTCTTAACAACGCAGAAACAGGAGAGCTACTCTCAGGACCAAAATTAACCCTTTCTCTTGGTGTCTGAACTGCAAAGCCAAGTGTTCCACCAGGCAGTGATAGCTCAAGAGCAGACTGAGTGAGGTGGGAGAGAGAAAGGCAGGTACTTGGCCATGGTGGATACTCCATACAGACTGGTGGGCTGTTTGGAGAAGTACTTTGCCCCGGGATGTTTTCTCCTGTGAAAGGAAAACCCTTAGGCTTTGTCTTCAGCCACCTGTGAGACTTTGGCAGATGGCTTAATGTTCTAGGCCTCGGTTTCTTCATCTGATGATTGTGTTGCTCCCAGCTGTGTACTCACATTACATGAAACAACAGTGCCCTCTAGTGGAGAAGGGGTAATCATTTTGTAGGTTGGGCCAGGAATTTCAACTTGATTCATAAACCTTGTTCTAAAAGGGAAAAGCCCATGAGAGGTAAAATCTGCCATCTGGCCTCAGACATAACTAGAACCGCTAAAGGGAACTGTGCTTTCTGAGAATTCTGTACTCCCGATCATAAACACACACCAATACCAAGTGCTGTCACCTGTTTTTAATTGTTTTTTCTTTACATTTTGTGTGTGTGTGTGTGTGTGTGTGTGTGTGTGTGTGTGTGTGTTGGGGTGGGGCTCAAACCCAGAGCCTTGTGCATGCTAGTCCATCACTATGCTATAGTATCACACTGAGCTACATCCGCAGCAAATACAATGTTCTTAATCAGATAAAGAAGTGGGAGGGGTCTTTGGGAGAATTTCTTAGGTTTTGAGACAGGGTCTCACATCATGGTCCAGGTTGGCCTTGAACTCACAGAAATCCTTCTCCCTCAGCCTCTGGATTGCTGGGATTACAATCATAAGTCACCACAACAGGGTTAGAGGAACCTTTTCTTTATTGTCTATGATGTGTATGTATGAGTATGAATGCCTGCATGTCATGGTACACATATGGAGACCAGAGGACAACTTTCTGGAGTTGATTCTCTCCTTCCTTGGGGAATTCAGGGATGAAACCCAGGTCCTCAGGCTTATGTGGCAAGCACATTAACTCACTGAGCTATCTCACTGGCTCAGATAAATGGGCTTTTTAAAAATTGGCTCATGTAGTCAGGCATGGTGGTACACGCCTTTAATCCCACTCGGGAGGCAAAAACAGGTAATCTCTGGAGTTCAAGGTCAGCCTGGGCTACATAGTGAGGTCCATGCCTGCTGGGACTACAGGGAAACCCTGTCTAAAAAAGACCCCCAATCCCCCCCCAAAAAAATTTGGCTCCTCTATCCTAGAATGAATCAAGATTTGGCATCAATATTATTGCTGTTTTTCACATTTAGCATTTCAAAATGGGGGACTGGAGAGATAGTTCAGTGGTTAAGAGTGTTTGCTGCTCCTCCAGAGGACCTGGGTTCAGTTCCCAGCACTCACAATCGCCTGTAACTCCAGCGCCAGGGAATCCAATGCCTCTATCCTCTACACTACGCTCATATGCACTACACACACATGTACATACCCACACACTGACATGTCCACAATTAAAAATTTAAAAATAATGCTGGGTGTAGTGGCACATGCCTTTAATCCCAGCACTAGGGAGGCAGAGGCAGGTGGATCTCTGTGAGTTCAAGGCCAGCCCGGTCTACATGGTGAGTTCCAGGCCAGCTGGGACTACAGGGAGACCTGTCTGGGCACTGCACGACACGGGTGCACTTATATACATGCAGGCATTACACTCATACACATAAAAAATTAAATAAGCCAGGCATGGTGGCACACACCTGTAGTCCCAGCACTTGGGAGGCAGAGGCAGGTGGATCTCTGTGAGTTCAAGACCAGCCTGATCTACATAGTGAGTTCCAGGACAGCTGGGGCTACAGGGAGACCCTGTCTCAAAAAAATTAAATAAAAAAATAAAATAGAATTATAAGACGAAGCTATATTCAAATGAATATAAATGGGTGGAACTGAAAGGAATTTTTTTAAAATATTGAGAATGCATGCTTGAACTTCTAAGGTCAGGTCAAAAGTGTTTAATCATTGAAAAGTATCTTGTATGGCCTATAACAACTTGGTTAGGCTTTTGCTAAGGATACTGAAGGCAAAAAATTAGAAAGTCCTAAATTAGCAAAACAAATTTTAGCGAGTCTTTTACTTCTCACCCCCTACACCCCTATTTCAAAGTGTCCCTTTGGTTGCCATCCTGAAGCTTTTTACACAGTAAGTCTCAAAAAACCCACATCCTCTGGGAGGACAGGTGGAGGAGCCTGAAGTGTCTAAGTGCTCCAACCCTAAGAACATTCCAGGCTGAAGAAACGAAAATTATTCTCTTGCCTACACTGCCACCTGCTGATGGAATCAGGCAGTGCCTGTTGCCTGCCGATGAATGAACAGGCCCTCCTGCCGATGAATGAACAGGCCCTCTTGAGAGCAGCCATCCATTCAGGAAGTCGGGCTAAAGGGTGATTGAGGGGTCAGAAGGGTCCAGGACTGAGCTCTTAGTTTCAGCTGTGGCCTCTGGCTGACCGTAATGAGCACAGGCCTTGCTCTCCAGTGTTTCCACACTATTCACAGGGTTCTCACTGTCCACCCATAACTTGAATTCCACACCGTGCTGTGCCAGTGACAGGCAGCCTGATATGAGGTACACAGCTCACTGAAAGCTGCCATCTGCAACCCACCCTGTCCTCATCAGTCAAATCACACTGACAACAAGGCACAATGAGCCTATCTGGAAGCAAAAGGTGCTGGGGAAGTCCCTCAAGTGAAGCAATGGCCACACTCATGAGATAAGGAGGTCTTCCCCTAAGAGGGAGCACTGAAGCTGGGTCCATAGGGGTGGCCTGGACCAGCTCACACTGGAAGCTGGCCAATAGCTACTGAGGGAAGGGGGCTGGGAGAATGACACTAGGCTACTTGTGTTTTATTACAGGAAAGTTCCAGTCACGAGGCCAGTATGCAATGGTGGTAGGAAGGCCCAGTACTGCAGAATCAGTCCTGGGTTAGATCCTGGCATTGCTGCTCACTAGCTTTTCACCGACAGGAGCCACTGAACTTCCCTGAGCTGGAACTTCCTTCTTGTAAGGTGATTATACTAACAGGTTGCTCTGAGTGAATAAAATAAAACCAGACTGCATATTTAAAGTCCCTTACAGGGGCTAGAGAGATGGCTCAGTGGTTAAGAGCACTGGCTGCTCTTCCAGAGGACCTAGGTTCAATTCCCAGCACCCACATGGCAGCTAACAACTGTTTGTAACTCCAGTTCCAGGGAATCCAATGTCCTCTTCTGGCCTCCAAGGGCATCGCATAACATGGGTACACTTATACACATGCAGGCAAAACACTCATACACATAAAATAAAAATACACCCCCCAAAAAATGTTTTCTCAAAGTCCCTGCAATATGGTGGACTCAGTGACATGCTGTGTTGACTTGGAGCAGTGTGGACCCCCTGGCTGGCTCTCAGTGAAGAGTGGGGGGTGGCACAATGGCCAGGCAGTGTTGGCAACTGTCATATCTAGCTTCTGGATCAGCCCCCAGCATTGATCAATCTCCTTGGGTGGTCTTAGCACCCTGTTCCTCCTCTATCCCACAGCAGGCTCCTGCATGTCAGAGCATCCTCAAATAGTTCTCCAATGGGAGAAGGGATAGGGATATACCCCTCCTCTGGAATTGGGGTGTATGTGTGTATCAAGGAAGTGAACTCTGGAAAAAGCCTGTAATTTCTTGACTTCCATAACTGCTGCACATGTGTAAGAAACACCCTTGCTTTCAGGATGCTTACAGTGCAGCATGGAAGGAAAAGGAGATCGAATGAACATTTATTGTTAAAGGGGCAGGATGTAGTGGCACATGTCTTCAATCCCAGCACTCAGGAGGCAGAAGCAAGTGGATCTCTGTGAGTCTGAGGATAGCCTGGTCTACACAATGAGTTCCAGGCTGGCCAGAGCTACACAGTGAGAGAGGAAAAAAAACAAAAGGGGACCAGCATGACTCCCCAGGTAAAGGAATCTGACGATTTGAATTTGATCCCCTGGGACCTGAATGGTGGAAGGAGAGAAGCAACTCCTGCAAGGTATCCCCTAGCTTCCACACCACGACAAGCACATGAGCAGACACACTAGATGTTTGCTGGGACTACAAATATGCAGGCTTAACACTCATAAAATAAAATCAACCAAAAAATATTAAAAACAAAAGTAAAAGAAAGGAGAAAGCAACAAATACACAAAAACAATATTTGGCGAATCCGAATTTCTTGCAATTTTTCTATGTTAAAATAAGCCAAAAGAAAAAGAACGCAGGCAGCGCCAGGGCTCTCTACCACCGTTCTCTCACCACCCTCCACTCCACACCCGATCCTCCCTCGTCCTCTCGTTGGAACCCACTCCCAACCGGTGCGCCCAGGGCTCTTCTGGCCTCTCCTGTAATCTCCCTGCCCGGCCAACCAGCAGACTTCAGGTGCTCTGCACCAACTTTATTTGCAAAAACCAGGCAAGAGGTGGGACCCAGTCAAAAAGGTCTCCTTGCCTTCCTCTGGACCCTCCACCAGGCCTCCCCTCCCCAGTAGCCACCACACCCCACCTACACCCAGCCCAACAGCCCCACTTCCCTTGGACCCAGGCTCCTCCTCCCCCAATCCTGACCCCGCCCCCACTAGCCCTGCCCCAGCCCCGCCCTCCATCTGGCTACACAATGGCGAACTGGCAGATGTAGGGCAGCTGGTCGCGGCAGCGCTTGTCGAACCACTTGCCGTTGGCCGCGCCGGCCAGGGCGGCGCAGTTCTCTGCCTTGCCGCCGTCGGGCTGCGCAGTGATCTCCGTCTCCCAGTTCTTGTAGGCCAGGCGGCCGCCGGTCATATCCACCCAGGTTCCCTCCGTGGCCATGTCGTTGAAGCCCAGCCAGATCTCCGCCTCGCTGCCCGCGCTCTGGCGCGCGTACTCGTACAGCGCCTCGTTCTCCAGCCCCGACTGCGGCGTGCCCAGCGTGCCCCCGCGCGAGATACAGTCCTCGCTGGCCTCGTGGAAGGTTTTCGGTTGGGTGAAGGCCAGGAAGCACTTCATATGCACCTTAGTGCCCTTCAGGCACACTGGGGAGGAGTGATGGCTGTCACCGTAGGTCACAGAAGGTGGGGATGCACCAAGTCAAAGAGGCCTCTCCCGAGTCCCTCCTTCCCCCAGCCTCCATCCCATCCTGTTCCTTAGGTCTTGCCTGGTAACCCTTGAGGACCCTGCTGTGGCAGACACTCACGAGCCCAGATACCTGTTCAAGAAGACTTGATGCCCTGCTCTTGGAATAGCCATCCCTCTGCTGCAAGGGGCCACCTAGACAGGGCCACTGCCCTCCAGAGATGGGTACAAAGGCTGCCTGGCCTCTCTGCAAGAGGCAGAATAGTTCCCTGGGCACAGAAGATGGCCCCAGGCTTGTACTGCCTCTTCCCTGGACTGCCTTCCCCGGACTCCCTGGGCATGGATCCCTCATCAGTCAACTCCATCTTAGAGGCAGCCTTCTGCACTGGGCTCTTTCTCACACCCCTCCCTAGGATCCTGCCTGACCAGGCACTCTCCCACTTGGACTGGAGGCCACACTCCAGGTACTTGGGACCTGTCACCCCTTCCTGAGGACTGGCAAGCTTCACCCACCACAGGGAACTTCTGCTTGGGCCAGGTGTTCCGATTATTTGGGTGGAACTGGGAGGATGAGCTGAGACTACAGGAATACTTATAACAGAGAAGATGGGAAGGACCGGCTGGCTATTCCCACGTGGTGCTTGGGAATGACCCAGTGGGACCTTGGCCTCACAGGTCAGGAAGAAGGTGCCATGTGGTCACATGGTGAGGATGGAATGGGGTTAGGGTTAGGGGTGTGAGCCACTCTAGTCAGTAAATATTGAGGAGCAACATCTCCATGTTCCTGTGGGCATCTGACAACCAGACTTCGTAGAAGTGTTTACTCACCGGCTCTATGGCGTGTGTGTTGTGTGTGTGTGTGTGTGTGTGTGTGTGTGTGTGTGTGTGTTGTGTTGTGTGTGTGTACATCATACCCCTAGTCCAGGTGCATCATACCCCTAGTCCAGGGCCAGGCACATGTCACTGAACACGACACACTTCAGAACAGAGGTGAGGTCACAGGGGAGTAGATGAGTGTGGGAATGAAGGCACTTGTAAAAGGACCGTGGTGAAGGACAGCAGGGCCCCAGAAAGGCTGACCCAAGAAGAGCTGGGTGGCTATACCCTCCCTGTGCCTGAGCCCTTGGCCACCCCAAGCAAGAGAATAAGGACAGCTCTCCTGGCTTCCAGAGTGCTCAAACCATAAGGCCTTGGTCAAGTCTTGTTCTGCCACTCTCCAGTCAGGTGACAGCCAGATCCAAGGTCTCCATCTGCCTCATTTGACTCATCTTTATATTAAGGCTGACTAATGCTGGCCTGGTTACTGTGATTCAGACAGCATCTGCAAAGCTGCTGACACATAGGAGATGGAGATGTGGGGCAACGTGGCCCAGAGCTGTGAATCCACCAAGTACAGGTCCCCTGTAGTTGGCTTAAGCTGTACTGCAACCAACCGCTGCCCCTGCTCTTCCAGTGGGCAATGGTGGGTTCCTGTTTGGAGAGCCTCCTGGGGCATTACTGTACCTCCACAACCTCTAGCTGTGGCCAGACCAGGCTGTGGTGGGGGGGGGGGGTCTTGCAAACACAAGTTTGATGATTTCCCCTGAGGAAGCTGGTGAGGACAAGACCTCTGAACTTGGCACTGGCTGGAAACTGAGGCTCCTTCCTCGCTGTTGCCCCCTACTGACCTGACAGCCACGCTGCACTTACCTGTCTGCAAAGCCTGCTGCTCCTTCAGCAGGGCCACCTCCTGGGCTAGGCTGTCCAGCCGGCTCTTGAGCTCCTCAAACATCTTTGAGCTCACCACATCTAGGACAGGGACAAGAGGCAATGGAGACAGACACTGAGGCAGGCAGAAGCTCCCTCCTTGTCTGCCAGCCCCAAAGGAGCAAGGGGAAAGGACTCCCCTGGCCTCAGTCTTTCAACACCACTGGTCTAAAGAACTGACCCTTGCTGGGTGTGGTGGCTCATGCCTTTAATCCCAGCACTCAGGAGGCAGAGGCAGGCAGATTTTTCTGTGAGTTCAAGGCCAACCTGGTCTACATAGTGAGTTCCAGGCCAGCTCGGGCTACAGGAAGCTCAAAAAAAAAAAAAAAAAAAAAAAAAAAAAAAAAAAAAAACTGACCCTCCTGTAGGCTCCTTCCCTACTCCTGCTCCTGCTCCAGCCTTCCCTACCGTGCATGTGTCAAGATGCACAGCCACCTCATCAGCTCCAGCAGGTCTATGGGCCATAAGACACAGAGCTCAATTTCCCCAGGCTGGAGAAGCAAGCAGGGACAGCAGGGTAGATCTCCTGTCCTGCTACCAACTGAGGGTGGTAAAGACACATGTTTGCCAACACAGCTCAGCCTCCTCATATGCACAGTGGAAGAAAGACAGTAGTCTGAAAGAACTCTGAGGAAGCCCAGGAGAAATAAACATGGCATAGTACAGAGCAGATGACGGGTGCCCACCCTGCAGTTGGGGAGCTGCTTTTCAGAGACACCACTTCAGGCAGGCTCTGACTTGCTGTGCACCACCTCGGCTGTGCTCACAGTCAGCGCTATGCCATGGGCAAGCACTGTCCTGAACCTCCACCTCTTCACAAATGAGGATAACCAAAGCCATACTTAAACAACCTGCCTAGGATGGCAGAGCAACTGCCCAGAGCCAGGGTCCACATGGCCACAGACGCAGTCTCTTCTCACCTGCTGAAGGGCACATGAAGCTCTGTCAGGGGCAGACTGTGGGGGTCAATGGCATGTGCCTCATCAGGGGCAAATGGGAGACTCTGTGTGTGTGTGTGTGTGTGTGTGTGTGGTGTGTGTGCATGTACATATGGGTAAGTAGGTGTGGGTGTGTGTAACTTGAGAGCTATGGGTGGGCCCAGATCTTTCTGAAACCCCCTGGGCCTTCGGAGGAGACTCTCTTCAACTTGGAACAGAAGGTGGGGAGTTGCCTCCATGGTCCATTTTGTATAAAGTTCACATTTGCAAGGGCTGAGATCAGAGCCTTTGTCCACCCATCAGAAGCTTTGTAGAGGAACCATGGCCAAGTCACGGACTTGTATATACAGAAACTGATGATATAACTTGTCAAATATGGGGGAAGCAACACCCAGCGGAACAAGAGCAAAGCAAGAGGGTTGGAACCACCAATCAAACTAACTCACCCTTGGCCTCTGCCTCAGTCTCTGGGTTTACAGAAGGTCTGTGCTGGCTTGTATGGAGCACCAGCACGGCACCATATAAGTGGTGTGAATTGGAAACTGCATAAGGGCATTAGCTAGGGAACAAGCCAGGCTGGGTCACCCAGAAAAGGAGTGCCTTTCTATAACTGGTCAGTTCAGAGAGGAGGCCATTTATAACTTATACCAGGATGCCTGGATGTGCATATTGACCAGGGAGCAAAGTGCTGACAGAGGGATGTATGGGGCTCTTTGCCATGACTCCCTGCCATTACCCCCACGTGAAGGAAGAGCTGTGAGCATTACTGACAGGCAGGGAAGAAACAAGCACGTAGGAATGCTTCAGTGGCCCGACCCACAGGTAGGGGTGACCAATGGCCTTCTTCCAGCTGTCCTGCGGACCTTCTAAGCTCCCATGGGGGCCATCTGGTGCCAGGATTTAACTGCAGCCTTTACTGAGGACCAAGGCAACCCTGCTCTGACACTCTCCTTTCCCACAACTGAAGACAGGATTTACAAGTGATGAAAACTTGAGAGCTTAGCAACTGCTTTCCACATTCAGGTGTTCTGTTTGCCTTTGGAGCCGCATCCCTCACATAAAACGTGCCTTAGTGGCAATTTTGACAATGCTTGTGGACATAACTGCAGGGTGTTCGGCCCTCCCATTTTTAAATGAGCATTTTGTAGACATTATATATGCATACGATTTAAGAAATCAAAACCAGTTCAGGCATGGTGGTGCACGCCTTTAATCCCAGCACTAGGGAGGCAAAGGCAGGCATATCTCTGTGAGATCGAGGCCAGACTGGAACATAGCAAGTTCCAGGCCAGCTGGAGCTACAGGAAGACCTTGTCTCAAAAAACAAAACAACAGGGGCTGGAGAGATGGCTCAACAGTCAAGAACACTGGTTGTTCTTGCAGAAGATCCGGGTTTGAATCCCAGCAACCACATGGCAGCTAACAACTCTCTGTAACTCCAGTTCCAGGGAGTCCAACGGCCTCTTCTGTCCTCGCGGGCATTGTATGACACAGGTACACTTACCTATATGCAGGCAATACACTCATAAAATAAAGTTTGAATTTTTAAAAAAACAAAAGCAAAAAGAGCAAAAAGAAGTCAAAACCAAAAAAAAGTCTCCAAATCAAGATGGCTCAAACATTGCTTTTCTTCCCACAAGTAATCTCTGTTATACTTGTAGACCTTTCTGGAATAATTTTATACATATATAACAAATATTTACTTTTAGTTTTTCCAAATAATTATTGACACATATTAATTATACAGGTTAGTGGGCTTCATTTCCATACAAGCATGCCTTATGATAAATCCCTTAACAAAACAATGTCAGCATAACATCCATTCTGTTTTGAACTTTGTTCATATTGTAAACTCAGTCTTTGAGTGGTTTCTTACTATTGTTTGCTTTGTTTTTATTTGAAGTGCTGACAATGGAACTAGGGTGTCACACATTCTAGGCACTCAGAGCAGAGCTTAGCAGGAAGCTGACACCCCATAGCCCCTGGAGATTTTAAAGACAGGGTCTCTGTAGCCCAGGCTGGCTTCAAAGTGGCTATATAGTAGAGAATAACCTTGAACTTCTGATCCTCCTGCCCCACCTCAGTACTGGGATTAGAATGTATATCATCCTGCTGGGTTTATATGGTACCTCCAGCATGTACCCTATCTGCATATTCTTTGCCACAGCCTCCTGAACTCCAAGGTGCTGATTTGTATACTTTGCCTCACCCCACTGGACTGTCCCTGTGTACCTAAGTCCTATGAAGGGACAGCCTGGGTCATTGCCAAGACATTCTGCTCTTTCATCTCCACCCAGCCTGGGATGACCTCACTGCTGGCAGGACTGTGAGGGTGGGTCTTGCTGCCACCAAAGGGACCCAAGAGTGCCCTACCCCCAGCAGAGCAGAGAGCCGCTCTAAGCTCTGGTCTGAGATGACCAGGGTGATGCCCCATGGAATTGAGAATTCAGTTGTGTGTGTGCCCTCCTCCCGCTCCCTGTGCACCAAGCATAACTTTGCCTGGACCTTTATATTTTTTACATTATTAAATGTTCTCACCAAGCTTTTGAGCAAATTCCACTGTCCTGGGCTCATGGCTGAAGAAACCCAGGTTGAGATCAGGTAGCTCAGCCTTATGTTGTCCCCTAGTGGGAAGTGAGCATTTCCAAGTCCAAGGTTATTTTTTTAAACATATTGGGTGGCAGAGAGGGAGCAGATGTCCATTTAGAAGATCTAGAAGGTTCTTCTCCATCTTAAGAGTCAGGGGCTCTTGCAGTTCTGACAACCATCCCCACTGTAAAGAACTCTCCCAGTCACTAGAGGGTCCTTCACCAAAGATCTCAGGAGGACTCATCAAGATCAGACATGAAGGGAAGAAGTTTGAGATCACACAAGGAGGGGCAGCTGCCTCTAGAGGGTGGGGAGGGGCAGCTGTTTCCTAGAAAATGGAGGGGCAGCTGCTCCCCAGAAGATGGATGGGCATCATCCCCCAGAGAGTAGAGAGGGGGGCTTCTCCCCAAATGGTGGAGGGGCAGCTGCCCCAGAGAGTGGGGAGGGGTTGCTGCTTACCTTTCTTGGCATTTGCAACCTTCTTGGTCTTGGGAGTGGGTGACTCTGCAAAGATGTGGGGCAGGAGAGAGAAGAGGCAGAGGATCAAGTAGGTGCCCCAGAGTTCCATATTGCTGCTGCTGCCTGCAGTGCCTGGGTCCAAAAGCAGCAGCTGCTGCAGCTGGGGTTGCACGTATTAAGGCTGTGGCCACAAGGACCTCTGTCCAGGAAACCCTCCCCAAGACTTGGCTACAAACATACAAAAGGAAAAAAAAAAGAAGAAGAAAGCAAGCCTGCCAAAGGAGGAAGGCTTGGGAGCCACAGTTCTGCCCTGGACACCCACCCAGAAGCCTGGCCAGCCTCCCAAAGAGTCAGTGTTTCTGAGGATTCTGGGAGATGGCCAACAGTTGTCATCATTCAGTCTGTCCAGTGGTTACCTCAGGCAGGAGCCAGGTCAGGCTCAAGGAGGCCTTAGACCCACAGGACTGTCATGTTCCCGTTCTCTTGAGGAAACTGAGGCTGGGGGGGTGTGAGGCTACCCAGCCACTAAGGGACAGTGATCTGGGCTACCTTCCTGCTTAGTCCAGAATGCTTATTAGGATTATTTTGTGATTTTGTTTCTCCTGGTTAAAAAATACAGGACAAGAGTCGGAGAGAAGGCTCATCAGTTAAGAAGTACTTACTGCTCTTGCAGTGGACCTGAGTTTGCTTCCCAGCACCCACACTGGGTGGCTCACAACCACCTGTAACTCAAGCTCCAGGAGCTCTGATGCCTTCTTCTGGCCTCCATGGGTACCTGCACTCATGTGAGCATACACACACACACACACACACACACACACACACACACACACATAAATGTAATTTTATTAAAAAATAAAAACCTCTAAGAAAAAGAAGCAAGAGAAACATTCCCTTTTCTTAGAAACTCTACCTGAAGTCATGAGGGGCATAGTGAATGAAGGAACCAGGGCAGAGGAGAGGGGAACCAGGAGGCCCCAGAGCAAGTGTCAGAGCTCAGAAGGATGCAGAAAAGCAGAGGCCCTGCCGGAGCACTGGAGTCCAAGTCAGGGGAAGAGTCCTGCAAGGGGAAGGGTGGTGGCAGAGACTGTAGGGACACTGATGGCATGTGCAGGCCTACTGATGATAATGGGAACTAGGTTTCTCATTCTGGGAGAAGAGTTATAAACACATAGAAAAAGGAAGCTATGATGAACCCTGTGGTATAAGGTTACAATCAGAGTGATGGGTGAGCCCTTGCAAAATTGAGCATATCAGAGAAATCCATGTATGTGGGTGACATAAAACATGCCATCTTTTCCCTAGCTGTCCCTGGAAGGGCCTTGAAGTGGCAAGCTCTCCGAAGCCTTGCCCTCTCCTGGCATCTAAGAAGAATGCAATGTTCCACCCAAGGGTCCAGAGCACAGCAGAAAAATGCTGGGGCCAGGGAAGCGGGAAATGAGCCAGTATGTGTGCTGCTGTCAGAAAGCAATAGTGCCTAAAGAAGTCTGGGGGACTGGAGAGATAGCTCAGTGGTTAAGAGCACTTGCTGCTCTTTCAGAGGGCCCAGGGTCACTTCTCAGCACCCATGTCCGGCAGCTCACAACTGCTTTTAACTCCAGTTCCAGGAGATCTGCCGCCATCTTCTAGCCTTCATGGGCATCTGCATGCATGTGCATTGTATGTGTATGAGTGTTTTGCCTACATGTATATAAGTACAACCATATCATGCAATGCCCACAGAGGTCAGAGCAGGGTATCAGATCCCCTGGAACTGGAGTTATGGACGGTCGTTAACCGTCATGTGGGTGCTGCCAACTGAACCCAGGTCCTCCGCAAGTGCAGCCAGTGCTCTTAACCACTGAACCATCTCTCCAGCCCCCAATAAAATGAATCTTTTTTAGAAAAACGTGTACTAGAGACCCATCTGCGGTTCAAGGCCAGCTTGAAGGAGCTATCGGTGGTAGATGAAGGGCAATTTGAACACCAGAACAGCGATAATAATAGAACAACCGTGACCAAAGCAAATGTCAACAACAATGGAACAAACTAAAAGCTGGCAGCATGGGGCTTGGTGGGTACCCACAATATTACTTCAGGAGATGATCTGTACCATGGTGTTCTGGTAAATTTGAAACTGCCCTACTCCTAGCTGTGAGGCAGTGTAAGGCTGGAGATGAAAACAGAACAGCTCAATGCAAAGTGTAATTCTGGACAGAGTTAACAACTGATGGAACATGAGGCACCCAGGGCAGAGCCACTACCCTGTTCTGGTCCCAGCTCTGATGGGATGCCTTGATGTAGGAATATGCTTTCATCTGCAGGCAGTGAGGCAGCCCAGGTGGACAGCTTACTCACACATGACTCCAAGAGACAAGCCCTTTAGAGAGTAACTGAAATTTTCCATGAATTTGACTTTATTCAAAAAGAAAATGCAGGGTTGAAGATGTAGTTCAGTTGGTAGAGTGCTTACTTAGTATGCCTGAAGCCCTGGGCTTGATCCTCAGTGGGCTTGATCCTCAGTATGGCACAAGCACAGTGTGGTTGTGCATACCTGTAATCCCAGCACTGGGAAAGTAGAGGCAGAAGGTTCCAGAGTAGATAGGTAGGTAGGTAGATAGATAGATAGATAGATAGATAGATAGATAGATAGATAGATAGATAGATAGACAGACAGATGATAGAGAATGCAGTACCATGTCACTCAGCTTTCCTCTGCCCTCCTAGATGGCTAGGAAGAAGCCTGTTGTGAAGGTGGGGGTCAGGGGGTGGATGATCAACCAGTGGGCTGTGGAGGTATCAAGGGTGGGGCACAGAGTTCGGAACAGAGCATCTGCAGGGCCTCTTAACTGATGGAAAGAGCCACCTTTCACTTTCTCTGAGTGGGAGAGACCTCATATTCACTGCTGGAACCTCAGACAATCTGGGGATTGATGATTGTATAACCCAATAAGGAGTCTTGCTTCCTGGGAAACGGTGTTGTAGAAATGGCTGGGGGAAGTTAGTGTTTCTCTCTCTCCTCTCTCTCTCTCTCTCTCTCTCTCTCTCTCTCTCTCTCTCTCTCTCTCTCTTCTCTCTCTCTCTCTCTCTCTCTCTCTCTCTCTCTCTCTCTCTCTCGACTCTATTACAGTCAACAGGAAAAATGGAGGAGTACCTAAGTGTATGGCAGCCCAAGATTCCCAGAAAGGGCCTGACTATGCTGTAGGTTTGCTGTGGGTTTGCCAGGGAGGTCATCCAGGAGAACCACACAGTGGTGATTCATTGCATTTGAGCCATGGAGAACTTTAGTGTATCAGCACACACCAGGAACTGTGCAGCCCCTATGGTGTCTCATGCACTCAGCAAGGTGCCAGAGCCATACTAAGTCCTTAGGGATTCATGTTAAGGATGGATGCTGTGCCCTAGAGTCTGCAGTGAGGCCTCATGGGACACCTAACAGCTAGTGCAGGCAAAGGAAGGCAGCCACATGGGGCTTGGTCAGGCCAGAGGAAATATGGGGATGGTGGTCCATGTGGGGTACAAAGAATAAAGACTTGAGTGAGAGGGAGGAATATCCTGGATCCTGAGCACTTGTGGGAACCGGACCAGGGTCACGAGCTGACAGAAAGCTAGCAATGTAAATAGGGACACCAAGCCACATGAAAAGACCACAGGCCACAGGAGGCCAGGGGAGAGCCATAGGGGAGGCTGTGATCAAAACATACCTAGGGGAAAGAATTAGCTGCTGAGTTGGGGGCACACTGGGCACCCCATCCAGCCAACATTCATCCCAACCATGGGCCCCACCTGCCCTGATTCTTTCTAATCTGATCTAGCAAGTGAACCCTGCACCTTGAAAGTCGATTTCAGGGGTACAGCAAGCAGCAGGCAATATCCTCAGCCTTTTTACCTGCAAGACTTTGCAAGGTGCCTGTGCATGTGTGTGCTTGTATGTGCACATGCCACATCATGCTCCCACACAGCACATGGAGCTCCACTTGTGCTGTTGTCTTTTGTAGAACCAGGATGAGGAGTGTCTTGGCTCAGGCCCTCCCCAGGCTTAGAGTTGGCTCATATCTGTAGAAGGCACTGCACAGCTGGGGATACTCTAGTGGGTTGAGAGAGTAGTTTATCATCCAGCTTTAAACCTATGCCCATCAGTGACAAGGGTGGCACTGTCAGAATGATGAGTCCAAGCCAAGTGTGGTTGGCACATGCGTATAATCCCAACACTTGGGAGGCCATGCAGGACTGCCTGGACTAGAGAGACCCTGCCTCAATAAACAAGACTGTTTCAAATGCATGAACCATAGGAGCTGGCAGGTGGTTCAGCAGGTAGAGGCAGCTGCTGCCAAGCCTGATACCCAAGTTTGATCCCCGGAACCCAGATGGCAGAAGGAGAGAACTGCCTTCTTGAAGTTGTCCTCTGCCACACACACGTGGTGGTTCACAAACACAAATAAATTTTTTAAATGTTTTAAAGGTCCATGTTGGGAATTACAGTGTTTACATCAAAAATGCTAATTTGTTAAACTTAAGCATTTTGTCATTATTTGTGCAGCCTTGTTTAGCATTTTATCATCTTTTCATTGTTTCAGTGGACGTCATAGAACAAAGTGGCCCACTGCCTCTCAACTCTAAAGCATATTGGAAAAGAGGCCATCCAGCCTGCTGCCCCAGTGTGGGATGCCCTTCCCAGTGACCCCGACAGATGTCCTTGTAGGCTTGAGGTCTCCAAAACATCACCCAGTGGGCCCTGGCACTGGCCTCCTTCATGTCCTTTGACTGTCCCCTCTCCAGGTGCCTTCCTCCCTTTTTGCCCTGTTCCTCTACCACATGGTTCTTGCCCTCACTCCCCATCCATCGCACCCCCAGTACTGTAAGCCTTGTACACACTAGGCAAGCACTCTTCACTCCAGCCCCACTTCCTGGACTTTTTTTTTTTTTTTTTTTAACTTTTTGTGGTGTAGCTCTCAGAATACAGCCTACATGGGCCCACCCACCGGCTTTATCGGGTGCACCAGCCATCAACCGTGCTTCATCTGTTGCCCTTGTTAGGCTTGGGGCTGGGAAAAATTCAGTTCTTGTCCACCCCTCTTCTCTCTGGCCAGGTGTGGAGATTGGCCCTACCACCCTCATCCTCCTCCAAATATAGATGTGTGGCACTGTCCCCATCATGAGGCCATGGGACACAAGCAGGGCTGGTTTCAGCCAAGAGAGACATGCCAAATTGTTTCCCCAAGGAAGTGCATGCTCACTAAA